CACACACACACACACACACACACACACACACACACACACACACACACACACACACACACCACAGTACAGCTATACTGGAGAAACGGCTGTTTGTTTATGACCCATTTAAAAAAAAAAAAAAAGGAATTGCGAAATACTGCTGCAGATATGAAAGAAAAATGTTGCATATGTAGCTTCTTGGGGAGTGGTCTGGATTTTTGGGGGGGAGGGGAATGTAGCAGAGACAGGCAAAGGGCGGTATATGAGCAATTTTTTATTCTGTTCCTATTTTCCCCCACCTCCCCATTTTTTTTTTTGATTCCCCTCTCTCTTATTCCTTTAGCCACCCCCCACCTTCCCTTCCTCAATCCCCTTCACCAGCAGGTTGTTTAATACTTTCCAGATTTCAGCATGCCTTCAGCCTCCTGGAAGAGTTGCAAGTCTGCTGATGGAATTTGGCGGAAAAGGGCTGTGAGTCCAGGCCGAGGCTCCTAACCTAATAAACCTAAAGGCAATGAGCGCCTCCCATTGGTGGCCCAAGTAAGAAAATACAGCTTTCAAAGAAAGTTGAAAGCGAAGGGGAAATGACATTTGACAGCCTCCGAAGCAGATGAAAAGCTGCATAATGGGCGCTTGAGAGAGTGTAACAGCTGCAAGGCAAGACTCAAATTACAATGATTTTCTATGGGGGAGGGAGGTGGCTTGAGCCCCCTGAACAAATCAGCAGTCTCCAGTGTGGGACAAACAATTGTGCTCACGTCAAGATTACCCACAAGAAAACTCATTTGAATGTTTTCCTTTTGGACTTTGGTTTCTGAATGCATTTTTAAGAACAAGAGCAACATCAGCTAATACGTTCTTGGGTTTATAGTGCCACACAGGTATTTACAACCCTCAAAGTCAAACCAGCCCTTGTCCTGACACACCCATTTTTGCATGAGTTTCGAACAACCTTTAGGTGGCAGTAAATAACCACTGCAACCATTAGATGGCAGTAAATAACAGCTTTTCGGCTTACAGCAGGCAGCTTTATCGTAATAATAAAACAGATGGGAAACAAATTAAAGGAAAAAAACCTGAGCCCTTGACCCACACAGTAAGGGAAACTGGGGCTCCATTATACTGTGCAGACCTAAACCTGTCATCATTTAGGTGCATCTGTCCACTGTGAGAGAATGGTCTCTTCAAAAAGATCCACCTTTAACCTATGATGGAACATTTATATCCCAATGTGATTTGTCTATTTTAAGCTTAAAAAAAAAGGCTCTGATCCACGAGCCATAAAAGAGTTACTTACTGGCTCAATGAGTATCAAAATTATGCAAAACATATGTGATGGTGTGTGCTGCAACTCCTTTTTTGGAAATGACTCTAGAGTCACTATCATCATGAAAACGTCAAATGAGCGATTATCCGTCAACGTCCAGTAGAGCTGCAGGGACTTGGGGAATCAGTGGCAAGGTACACTGAGGTAGTTCTTGGTGACCCCTAAACTTCATTCCAATGCGATTTTCCCTTTACTGTCACCTATTTATATAACCCAGTTATATGAAGTAATTCAAATTGAGATTTTCAGAATCAAATGCCAAAGTGGTGCACAGGGAAGATTTAGTCTCTGTCAAAGAAAAATCCTAACAATCTGAGAGAAGAATAATGACTTTATAAAGGCAGAGAAAAGAAGGATCAATACCACTACTGGTTTGTATTGACCACAACAATCAATATAAATGGGCTGCTTTACCACAAGTGTAAGAATAATGACTTTTTCTAGCCCTCTGGCAGATTGGACACTGGCATAATGTGACTATGAAAAACTCAAAGTGGAAAGAGATTAAACATTCCCTGAAGTGGAGATGAAAGAGTAGAATCGAAATGAGACACCAAAGAGAAACGGAGCGCTGCTTTCTGAATGCAGTTTTAATGCAGAGGGATGCAGGATAAGACCTTGAACATTCTGCAGCGAGCGTTAACAAAACAGCGCGCCGGACTTTGCCCGTGCTGCGAGGGGGCTCACCAGGGCATGAAAAGCCAAAGCACTGCCTTTAAAATCAAAAGTGACAGAGCAGCTTTGAGTCAGCGATGATGAGCAGGATCCCGGTCTCAGGTGAGTAAAAAGCTCATCCATCCTCCAATCACCAAGGTAAGAGAAATTGCCCGTCTTCGCTATTTGTCAATGCAGCACTCCTCGGTGATAAACTTTCCCCCCTGAATCCATCTTTCACCCCTCTCACACCTGCACGATTTAAAAAAAAAAAAAAAAAAAAAAAAAAAACTACTAACCAAAACATTTTTTAAACTAAGCCTTTAAGTTAAGATGCTTTTCTCCTCCACATGCACTGGTTTACTCAAAACTCTTTTTTTTATTGTATATTTAAGAAAAGTGTACAACTAAGGCCAATAAGGTCTGAATTGCTTCCTTCCTTCCTCTGCTTGGAGAGATGGTGAATGGCAGGAAACATGAGGCACTCAAGGAATTCCTTTGTTAATGCTGCTGAGTGGATAGCACTTAACACACACTGCTTTTTGATGTACTCGCATAAAAACAAAATCAAATATGAAACAGTGAAGGTATTCAAGCTTTTATTGAAAAATATAGGTTATTTTGAGCAGTACAGAAAAGACGCTGTAAATATACAGTGGGGACAAAAATATGGTGTAATATCACACAGAAAACACAAACAACTTTTCATTCGCACCCAATTAACAGTTGGATTTACTTGCGTGTATTTTGTAGTGCATGAGTGATATACATCCAGTTATGCAACCTCTTCAGTTTCAGGACATCACACCTTATAGCACTTATCTTGATTTGCATGCTGAAACTTACACAGTGAATACTGGTAGAGAGAAGGAAGTGAAATGTAAGTGGCAGACTTTCCCAAAAGCAAAGAGAGAGAAAAGAAGAAGAAAGAAGAGAAAAAAAAAAATCATAATTTGGCACATCTGTCAGTTTCAGTTAAGGCAGTGAAGTCAATCAGCCCAACTAAGCCTCAATACTTTCTGGCCATGGCTTTTAATGATGCAAGAAAGGCAGTCGAGCTGCAACGACTATGCAACTTGCACAAAAATAGCGATCTTTTCTTAATGCGCTTGCATCCATTGCTGTCTCTTTTCTCTCTCCCCCCCACGTTTTTTTTGTTTTTTTTGTTTTTTAAATCCACTCTCCAGACATAACAAACACAGTAAAGATTTCTTTCTAACAAAAGGTAGAGAAAACAGCAGGTATTTAACACCAAATACTAGTAGTGTCTGATTTACTTGTGCCTCCTGGTACACGTAATTCGTCCGTCACACGCAATTCGTCCGTCACATATACACTAAAACCCTACTCGTACGTAGTGGTGAAAATAGTTTACACATATAGGTAGTCCCCTTGAGTAATGAAAATCTTCTACACAGATCACTTGCACCGCTGCAGTTGCTCGGATGTAACGAAAAAAAGGAAGGAAGTGGTTATTCGGTTTCAACTCGAACTTGACACGACTAAAGGAAAGTCACTTTGTGTTAATTAATGGAGATTATCAGGAAAACTGCATCAGAAAAGATATAAAGATATAAAAGACAACTAAGAGTGGGCTACACTACTCCTCACACCTCCAGTTTGCTGTAGTAACACCTTGCTTTCTATTTAGTTCAGCCCAATGCATCTCCGTTAGCTCTACTTCCTTTTCTACAATTCACAGCGTCTATGTGAAACTCAGTGAATTACAAAAAAAAAAAGGAGACAATTTGGTGTTGGCTTTGAGGTCCAGCTTTACAGCAGGAAATTGTACTCTTTAAACAGTGTCACAAAGACCCTGAGATACATAAGTTATACTAAGGGAGAAAGAAATCTGATAGATCTATGGTACTGCTATAATATCTTCAGATGAAAGAGGCTCAGTGCAGGGCCTCACACACCAGTGACAACCACAGCTCCCTTTATTGTGACAAGACACCCACCAGTGATCCTGTTGTGACAGAGGCCTTCTGTTTAGCTCAGGCCTCATGACGTCCCACAGCCAGAGTGAAGAAAAGAGGCGAACCGAATGAAAAAAGCACATGTGACACATCAAGCGAGAGGGGAGAGAGAGGGAAAGAGAAAGGCTGAACTGAGTTTTACTTGTGGAAAGTGTTTTTCCTACAAAAGTTCCTTTCTAACCACTACTCCCTGCTTACTTCTGGAATGTTCCATATTCAGAAAGTGTGTTCCCTTCCATGTCAGTTCCCTCGGTGTTCAAAAGGGAGTCACAGATTGACAGAAAGGGAGTGGAGGGTAAGGCTCTCTGACAGACAGAGTTTGGGCACATCCAAAAGGAGCAGTCACTCTTTCTTTGTAGCCCTTTAAAGGAGGAACCCTCCATCTTCTTCAAAGTGCCATTCGCACAGTTCCTGACTACAGTATCGTCTTCCCATTTAACTGCAAATCCACACTGTCAAAGGACTTGCCAGTTGCGCATAAACCACTTCCACAGCTTATTCTTATTTTTTTTTCCTTCCACCAGACTCTCATACATGAATCTCATCATCTTCATCCTCCAAGAAAGAGGAAAAGTTGCTCTCCTCCTCTGGTGGGGCACTGAAGGTGGCACTATCTGTATCTCCTGCAAAGATCAGGCTGCTGGGTTTCTCATCCAGAGCAGCAGACCCAGAACTGGACATGGAGCAGCTGTCTAGGTGCTGCAAGTGTTTGGGGCGTATCTCAGGAGTGTACTCTGGAGTGTAAGGCCCTCCGTCCTCCTGCCTCAGATCAACAGAGCTGGCTAGATGCATAGATGCCTGGTGCTGCAGCTCTTCTGCTTCTTCATTTGCCTCCACCTGCTCCTCATCTTTTTCACCCTCTACATAAACCTCTTCCTCACCATGGGCGCCAAGCAGTGGCGAGGTGCAGCCCTCGCTGCTCTTGCCCTCCTCGTAGCCAAGATCATCATCCTCCTTCTCCATCACACCCAGGATTTCACCCAGCATGGACGGACCCAGGTCAACGTGGAAAGACATAACCGACACTGCATGCTTCATTCCACCTCCGTACTGAATTGAGCTCTCTGGGAGCTCAGTCAGCTCACCAAAACTTCGCTCTTCCAGCTCTAAAGCGCGAGTAGCTGCAACCGCACCTCTCCCATCCAAGTCGCTGTGGAGCTTCAGCGGACTTGAAGACAAACTCTTTGCCACCATGCTGTCGCCTCCGTCTTCATCATTGAGAAAGGGAAGGGACATGGCATTTTTTACATAGGTGGGTGATCCTCCGGGGACCACCAGGGCACTATCTTTCTGTTGGTCCACTCGGTTCACCGACTGAGAGCGCTTGCTGCTCCTAAAGGTGCGTGACAGGAGCCCAGGCCGAGGAGAGCGAGGAAAGGATGTGGACTCGGGAGGGGGTTCCCCTGAGCGTGTGCTGAGAAAGGAGGTGTCACCAAAAGCATCACCGCTGCGGCCTACATGCATGGTGTGGCGAAAGTCACCCAGGGGAGCACTGATCATCTCCCTGGTCAGGTCCATACGGGAGCGACGCTTTGTCTGGGAGGAGGACGACACTAGCTGTTTTAAGATCGGCATGGTGGCTGATCAGGGGTATTGTTGTGCACTAAGAGGTAGCTGGGTGGCAAAAAGATCACCTGAATCTTTGGGAAAGTCCTTCTTTGAAATCTTGGAATGAATATTGATGGTCCTTAAATCCAATCAGCCAGGGAACCTGGAAAAACACACAATAAGTTAGAAACAGACATAATCGAATCAAAATTGTTTGTTTAGTCAAAAAAAACAAAAAAAAAAACTTCAAAGTGTGTCCACTCACAGAAATTGATTTCAAACAATAAATTGTAACTTGACTCAAAACCAGCAGAAAGCAAAAAGAAAGAATCTATATGGTCCAGCTAAAGTATAGATTTTAAATTATGTTGCCAAGAAAGTTGAAGCCCTTTAATTCTAAGAAAAGAAAAAAAAACATATGAAGGAATTCCAAATGTTGCCACTAATTGCAAGAGCTGAAGCTATCAATTATTGAGTCTATAATGACGAGCAAACTCTGTGAGATGAACTCTAAAATACGCTGCAGAAAAAAACCAAAAAAAAAAAAAAAAAAAAAAAGGAGACCACCACAGGATTTTACTTAAACAGCGCTATAACTTAGAGGAAAACACCAACCACAGACCAACATGAATCAAGGCAAGATAACTGAGAGCTGCCACAGATTTCTTTTTTTTTTTTGCAAAGTATACTTCACTGCAAGACCGAAAACTATCTTCTACTGACAAAAGGACAATTATACATGCATCAAAAACAATGATACCCCTGTCATCTAACTATAGAGCTGGATTATTGCAACAACGAAATCACAATGTATTCCCCATCTTAGGCAGTGGTGTTTAAGCCCCCGGAGGTTTATGACAGCTGACAGAAATTGTGTTTCTACGTTACTGAGAGCTCAGACAGAGGAAACCCCGCCACAGGCAGCCAGCCAGACACCGCTGTTTCCTCAGGTGATGCACTGGAGGGCAGGAGCAGGGTGTCTCATTAACCATCAGTCCAATTATATAAAATACACATGAAAAGAGCACTCTCATGGTGGCCCACAAAGTGAAGTGCAAGCGGTTTCCACACAAAGACATCAAAAACACATGCACAGCTGACTTGTGGATGGAAAATCTCTGTGGTTGTGCATAAGCATGTCTGAAGAAAAGGTTTACCTCACCGGCTTGAGCATGCGTCTCTCTAGCTTGCTCATAGTGCCGTTTTCTTTATTTACTTAACCTAAGACAGGAAGAGGAACACTTAACCTTGACTTTAGCTTTCTTGTAAGAAAGCCCTTTAAAACATATTTAAGTCACTTCTGTTTATGCTGGAAGAGATTTTAGATGTTTAAAGTGGCAGGCTTTTGCATGCATTGACCTCATTCTTCGGTCTCCACCCCCTGTCTTTGCCAGCTGAGTCTCTTCTCCGCTTCCTGTTAATGCCTTCACCTGCTTCGGTTTCCATAGAAACACCCTCCCTCGTGCAAGCGACAGCGTTTCCTGTCAGAGGCTACGGGCGGCTCCAGGCTTCGAATGCAACGTATGGCCTTCTGTCAGCCATAGCCTGTGCTCACTCACCTTGTGTTGTTACTTTCTATTGGCCAAAATGGAAATCGATTAAAACTCAGAAATATTCCGGTGCTGTAGAAAAAAAACAACAAAAAAATAAATAAATAAATAAATAAAGCAAGCAAGCTCGATAAACCAGAGGCCGAGTTGTGATGACAAAACGTTCCATGAACTCCAAATGATTTCAACAAGATACATAAACAAGGTCACTTTTTGCTGAAATGTGTTTATTTTTGTAGCTGCCTGTTCTGATTTGTTTCAGGGAAGGCCAAATATTCACACCCAGCCAAAATAACAGCCTTTTCTTTCCTGAATAGTTGCTCCTGGGTGGCACAAACACAGGAAAGAAAAAAACAAAACAAAACAACTACTGGATCAAAAAAAGCGGAGATGGTGAAAACCTCCCTCCCACTCCTCTATATCACCCTCTAGGCCAGGATCAAGCTGAAAAGCTCTATGGTGCCCATCGCAGGGATATGGATGCAGAAACTTGCTATAGACCACCAGACAGACTTCTCATTGTCAGCTCCAAACCACATCGTACCAGAAAAAACAAAAAACAAAAACCGCTGCAGTTCCACATTTACATCCAACCCAAGACCTTCTATATTTATGGCTTTGTCATATTTGCGGAAGTGCATGCACGCACGAGTAGGGGGTGGGGGAGTGGCAGATATAGATGGAGAGTGGAAAAGGGCCTGAGAAGGCAGCAGTTAGCGTGGGAACCGCTGGATCGCAGCACCAGGGGTGAAGGGGGGAGGATTGACTTTATAAACAAACTTTCACAACACTCATGATCTAATTGCAACAGAGCCCACTAAAAATGCGGGACAGGAACGGGGATGAACAGCAAATGAAGCACATCTGCATTTTTTCAGTTTGACAGTACAGCTTCTTGAAAGCTAGAGCTGTCTAAACTGATGTGTATAGATTATGAGGTTGACTGACCTGCCTTGATGTGGTGTTTGTGAGCTGCTCGGTAAAAGCAGCAGTACATGCATGCACACATACTGCAGTAACCACGAGTACATTGGAATGTTTCCAAACAGTTGTGAGTGCTACTCCACTTCTTCAGTCATCTCATGTTGTTCTTTTTTATAAGCGGTATTATAACCCATATTGCCAGATGTATTTAGGCTATGGAGTAGTTCTAAACCTGGAGGGGAAAAAAAAAAAAAAAAAAAAAAAAAAAAAAAAAAGGAAATCTCTGTCAGGAAAAAAAGAGCAAAAGAAAAGAAAAAAAATCTGCTGTTTTACTTCTACTAAAGAGGTCAAAAAGGAGCACGCTAAATGAAACAGTAACCTCACTAAACCTGCAGTCATTTCTTACAGCTATAAACAAATGCCACACTGGAGGAAGTGGGGAAAGAAAAATAGCTACGAGTTTAACCTACGAGTCAAAATTCACTGAGATAATTAACCCGCATTCAGTAAGTTTTTTACAGCAAACCTTAGACGAGCATAACTTCTCACTTCTTGTCAATATTCTCGCACCAAGCCAATCAATACCGAAACACAAGAGATCACTCGCAGACACATAAACCGAGTCTCAACCATGACTTATGAGCCATTTCCGGAACTAAGTATTGATGCGCCTTCTTTGTGCTCTGTGCATTCTGCTGTCTGGAAGACGGGAGGGGTTCAGACTCGCTGTGCGCATCATTTGAAGTCACTGACCTGGACGGACAATCGAATGACCAGAGGGTGAACTGACATTAGGGGGAGGAAAAGCCACATCATGCACCCTAAATCTGTGTGGAAATTAAAAAAAAAAAAAAAAAAATGGTGAAAACTGCTCTGCTTGAAAAATACTCCAATTATCAAGCAATCTGTAAACATTCTGATTGCTTGTGAAAACCCTAATTTATTCCCAAATGTTTAAGTGCGACACCACCAAGAGGTACACAGTTGCTCAGTAACAGGCTAGCACAGACTCTCACACACATACTCTACTAATTACGCAGACAAATGGCCTCCAGTAGATAGGTATCTGCCATGCAGCTCAGTTAGCGGGCCTGAATATCTCATTTAGGAAGGAGCAGCCAAAGGACAAACAGTGGAAATCACATTATCTCTCAATCAAACAAACAGGGGACAACAGACATCAAGCTGATGATGCCCTCTGAGATAAATACAGCAATGAGAAAACACACTGCTCTAATGAGAAATTACAAATAAAGCCCTTTTTCTTACGCTAAAGCCAAATTTAGCCGTTGCTTAAATCGCCCATTTGGGGCAATCAACTAGACGTGCCATTCGCTTGTGGTGTTGCAGCTTCAGACGTGTTGACCGAGAGGGTATCTTTGGTACGTTTACACCCTGCCACCCATTTCACCATGCAGATCCTATATAGCACGGAAGCTAAAACATTTCAGAACAGACACGATCACACTAAATAAGCCCTGATATGTTTTGTTTGTTTGTTTATATATTTAAAGAAAAACACCAATGGCTGAACAAAACAGGACAATTGGGCACATCACCAAGCACTCCGGGAAACTTCAGTGCACGACAGCCCCAAATGGACATGCAGTCAAATCAGGAAATCGCACACCCCAAGACAACCCATTTTACAGAAAATGATGAATGTAGAGACATCAATAATCACAGAGAGTTTAACAAAACATCTCAACCATTCAATTTGTCTGAAAAATAACACAGGGACCAGAAGATAAAATTGTTTCTGGGGGGTTTTTTTGTTCTTTTTTCTGTGACCACAAATACCTCACAAGCTGCTGTTAGGAGATATGCTGTGTTAGTGTCACACCTCACCCAGTGGGGCACACCGTTCTGTAGGGATCAAAGAACAAGAGGTTTTTAGAGCCTTCCTGCTAATAAAAGTGCCTGTAGGTTTTGGAATTGGTATTCATGTTGCTGAGTACCAAATCCGTTTCTATCCTTAGACAGTGAGGGGAATATTTGAGAGAAGCGGCAAGAACAAACTGACAAGAACTTTTAATAGTGTTAAAAATATAACATTGCATTGATAAACCATCATGTAAACCGAACAAAGCTCACGGGCCAGAATCCGCCCAACAATCCGCCCACTGGAAGGCTTTGCAAACTGTGAATAAATGCATAGATTTTGGACTTAATTGTATTTTCACAAGTTTTACAGCTTTTGTTTTGTATTGATAAAGACCTTTGTCATGACATCATTCAGTACATGTAAAAAATAAAATAAAAGTGTCCTATAGTGCAATATCATATGTTTACATTTCCTAATGTGCACAACAAGGAGAAGCACGTTTGGGAACAAGAGCTACAAATCGATGACTTTTTGTTACCTAGAAAGAGAACGACCTCAAAAACCTCCAGCAAAGTGCAGTACTTTGCAAAATATGTGAGAAAACTCTTCCTGCTAAAGGTGGAAACAACAAACGAGTTACAGACTAGGACGGCACAGGAGGAGGAGATACTAGTAGCTGGCGATGTGCAAAAATAAACAAACTAATCAATCAAGCATCGCTAGCACTCGCTGGTTGCGCACCGTACGACAGGAAGAGCAAATGATGAATGGAAATTACTTGGATGGATTAAATTATGCGGTAACATGATGGAAAAGCAGGGCTTTTAGCAAGAGGTAGAAAATATCTATTTTTTTTTTTTCATGTGACAATATTATGCAGGCTCTGGGTCAATGGACTTTAGGGTTTGTTATACTAAAGTTTTAAGCAGCTATTTTATACTTTTACTTAGAAGTTTAGCTTACATTTAATTTATGCTGTGTCATGACTGTTGCATGCTAATGATGCTGTCACTGCTGGCACCTTGTTTCGATTGAAAATTAGGAAGTGTGACAGTAGTGCCATTGAAAAATATTGGATGGAAAACATCTTTTATTTAGATGTATACTTTTTTTCTTTATCATCATAAATATCCTCACAACTTTTCTTGAAATATCAGGATATATAGTGAGGTGACAGATCAATATACAATCCATGATCACTAAAACTAGCCTGAAGTGGGTTACGCTCTACCACAAATATTCATATTTGACATGTGGGGAATGTGCTAGCTAGGTTGCAGACTTGTGGCTTAGGTCTGTTTGCATGACAGACACCAGTGTGTGCCGGTTTCCTGCACAACTGTTTTGTTTTTGCTTATTTACACACATTTGTTCATTTTACGACAAAGCTAGTAGGCGTTTTCTCAACATAAGAGGTGAAAGCGGCTAGCGTGGAACTCTACCAACATTCACGAAGCAACACTTTAAAATTGAAAATGCCACTGTATTCACCATGCAGACTATTCAAGTTGGAGCTATTTACAAGTAAAGCAAATCATCCAGCTGGAAGGAAGAAAAGTGATGAAGACCAGGACAGAAGGTGACACCTCGGCAGTCACTGAAATGGTTTGTGGCAGAAAACAGGCGTGCTCGACGTGCACCAGCTGAACTCAGATACCCAAGAGGGGATGACTTGTCTCTTTTACATTTACAGCCAACACAGCCTCCAGACATGACACAGCATCTCTTTCTCTCAGTCCTCTGCTGTGATCAAACTGACAGCTTCTATTACAGGCACAATCAGTGGATGGCAAACAATAATGCTGCATTGCGCTTCAAGAATGAAAAGTATTCTTTGGGTTAAACAAGGCTGATAAACATTATTTTCATGGATCTACAATGCCTTTTTATAGACAAACAATGTTATCCATCCCAGCTCTGCTATCATCTCTGATCAGAATAAAAAGTTACTATTGCGCTACTGAAAATGGAGCCAATATGGCTGGACACCAACGTCATTTGTGTACTGGGCATGCTATCTAAATACAAACAGAGGGTGGGAGGCACAACATGCATTTAGAGGCATTTAGAGTGTCTCGGAATAATTACAGGGAATTGACGGAAAGCAGGTTCACGCTGGCAATATCAACGAGTGAGCATGGCAGAGGCAACCACTTAACATTAAGCCAAGAACATCCCAAAAGGACAGGCTGAGAACCTTCACAGACACTTAACATTAAGCTAATACCTTTCCAACTTTTTCCATCCTGTTCCAGCTGGATCTGCAAGATCAACGACCAGTCTTAAGTCATTAACAACTGTCCCCTTCTGTATGCACGAAGACATTTGAGCATTCTTAAAATGTGGATGCACACAGTTGCAAAAGCATAACTTAATTACCACTGAGACACATCACTGAAAACCAGTCTCTTCAAAACAAGCAATTAGCCAAGAACTTCCCAAAAGGACAGGCTGGACATACATAGCTGCACATGATGGAGCCGTTTAATGAAGACACGTGTTGGAGGGTACATCCACAGGAAGGGCAGGGAGAAAATTAGGCAGTAAACCCTCCCATCCCTCCGGAAATCTTCTCAGCCTGCCCTTCCTGATCACTCATAACGTAAACAAGGCTTTTCTCCATAATACTGTGTTACAGACAAGCTAGTCAAACAAACAGCTCATATCTCCATCGACACCCTGTTTTAATAAGCCTGTAGGACATTGTGTGTGTAAAAGCAGACTCCAAACGCAATATGTATCAGTACATGGAAAGCGTCAGGTCCAGGTGACTTTAATCGTTTTCGAAAACGATCACAACCGGATCTTTACAACACCAGGTAGCTGAGTCACAACAGCTGTTGACAGCTCTGGCCTCAGGCCCAGCTGTCTGTGTGGTTGGTGTTTTAAGAGCTGCAGAAGATGAATGAGGTTCTATTTTGAACCATTTGGGAAGAAATCTGTTCTCCTTGATGGAAAGAAAACCAGAAAACATTTTAGAAATCAGAAAAGCAATAGGATTTGGAGACTCCTGTTTGAAAGTGCTGCAGTGCCATAACTATGAGGTCAGACAAGCAAAGGAAAGCACAGGCTGGTGGGACATGGACGAACTCGGTTTATTTTTTTTATTTCTTATTTTAAATAAAATAAATATGCTTGTGTATCTATGGCACAATTGTAATGGACAATGAATGTCACACAAATGCTAAACAACAAATCAAATAGAGTGAAAGAGGACATCTCTGAAAGCATTTGGAGTTTAAACAGAAGTCCCTGTCATTGTCTTTTGGTACAATGACATCAACTCCATGCAATACGTGCATCCAGTAACAAGGAAACAGAACAAACATTTACCTCTTGCTAACAGGCCCCAGCATACAGTGCAACAAAGCAGCATGCAGGATAGGCCTAGAACACAATGCAGCCAAACAAAAGGCAAAAAAACCCAAACAGACACAGCATTCACACACTGTCATATGATAAACTCTCAGTATTTGATATTTGGACAAGGTAAGAAAAAGGTAAGTGGCAGAAAACTAATGACAGTTGCCATATGTCAGAAGCCAAACTGGCTAAAATACATCTGTACTGTGTAAGTGTTGAAAGACAAGTTCAAATCCAAGGCTCTTCTCCAAAGTAACCCAGATATTCCCTACTACCGTCCTCAGAGGAATTCTGGGAAAAGAAAAGAAAACACAAAAAAAAAAAAAAAAAAAAAAAAAAAAAGTTTATACTGGTATTTCCTGGAATGTGAAGGGGCTGGACAGGACACACACACAGCCTCAAATGAGCACACAAACTGCAAACATGGGTGCTGGACTATTTAGCCAGTAGCCACAAATAACTGAGTTTCCCTTCAGCATTACCGCAGATGTATTTTGGAATATCCACATTAAAAGTGAGCAACTTTGCTTGCTCTTGTAAACAAACTTATTAGCAGGTTGCTCTTCCCAGGATACGAGCCAACAAATCCTGTCTACACTGTGCCTTGCATAATAACAGGGTGCTTGGCACAGTGTCCAACAACACAAGAGGGAAGGATAACTTTCACCTTCGGGCACTAACCACCTCCTGCAGGCAATTAGACACCAACTTTGTAATTTAAAAGAAGAAGAAGAGAAAAAAAAAAAAAAAAAAAAAAAAAAGAACTCTGCATAGGGAGTAGAACTTGTGCGGGCTGGTTTAAAATCCTGTCACTTTGTATAAAATACAAAGTAAACAGGCTAAAGAAAGCCTAAAACATGTAAATCTGGTCAACTATGCTTGCATGTTTGCAGTGTCATCAACCTGAATCCATCACACCACTCCAAGACAACCTCACATCTCATAAAAGGCCCTTGCACATTTTGAAAAAGGCAGGTCAAATTTCCTAAAAGCCACCGTAACTTCCTCACAAGCACAGACCTCTGATAACACCACCTCTTCAGACAATTGCTGTAAGTTTTTATCAGTGCAGGGTGATGGAGAGATAGCCCGCTGACCTGAGGCCCATTACCTCACACTACCAGTCAGTGAACTCATCAAGTGCCAGCCTTACCAGGAAAACTGTACAAAGACCTGGACAAAGTGAATGTGCACTCCAAGGAGGCAGAAACTGTATAACGTATCTTTCTTTCCCAGCCTTATCTGATAAAGTCAAAACCACCTCCAACTTCGAGGAAATGTGCCAAATCACGCCCTTCTATCACCTTCCACTCACTCTAGAATTAGTTCCCAGAAGCAAGTCAAAGTGTTTTAAGAAAATATCAAGGACCCCCAATAAGCACAGCCATCAAACACGTTACTGGCCTAATTATGAGAATTTTTGAAGTTTATCATGTGTTCTAAAAGTCAGGCCTATGGGAGTTGTCGTTTGTAGTAAAGTCAGGGGTTAAAACAAAAGGAAACATGGTGTATCCGCTTAAACCTGAAAACATCCCCCAAATAAACTAACAAACAAAAAACACAAATAAACTCAATTTGTTTCTGAGAGGACAAAATGGCTCGTTTCTTTCGACAACAGACACACAAAGAAAAAAGCGCTAATTCCGCAGCATTTGATTCACTCTTGCGCTCACTGCCGATCAGCGAGGTTCGATCATATACAATAAAGCGCTGATTCTGGGTGGGTCAATAGCAGGAGAACAATAATAGGCCAGCGGACTAGAAGCATGAGCAGCCCCGTGCGCGCAGGTGAACGGGCCGATAAAATGTCGGTATAAAACGCGTCCTTGAAGTGCACACACAACCCAGAAGATCAGTTTTATGTTAAGTGCAAGTACAAATATTAAAGTACACACGCTTACCGAGCATCCCCATTCATAAAAGCCGGGTGCTGCTCCACTTTTAGGCCCCCAGCAGACCAACAATGGGGGTGCATTCATCAAACGAAACAAGCCGTGAGGCGCTCAGATTAGTTCTTTCTGCTCCAAACAACGCGGATCATGGACCCGTGAGTGTGGCGGTTTTTTTAGAGAAATATTACAGCTGCTGTCACAACATCCTTACAAACGCTGCTGCTACTCTGAAGCGCATGAACTCACTACAACGCCTGCTGCGGTAGTGCGCTTGAACACGCCCTCTTTACATGGGTCCTTAAAGACACAGGGTGCCAGCATGGGGCCACTCAGACTGCCTTGGCGCACTGACACAAAGGAAACCTCGAAGATAATTTATTAAATCTTTAATAATAAATATATAAATAGGTTAGCCAGTTTAAATACTTAATAATTAATGTACCAAGAAAATGTACTTGAAAGACCCAGGAACATATTAAGCCTTTTATTGATGCTATTATATACCAAGGTGTAATAAGCATTTATCAATAAGCAGTGTTGTGCATTCTTTAAAATGATTCTTCATATCCTTTCTAGTCTTATACAATACTCATTTACGTTTGCCTTATTAGATATTTTCCGAGAGCAAGAGTAGAGAATATCTTTGTTCATTTGTCAAAGGGGAAATGATGTCATCGTTTTAGTGCCTAGCATTGCATGTTTTAAGATTTAAGTATTAAATAAATCAGTAAAAATTGGCAAAGATAAATTTATACGGGACTGGTGTTTTCAGAGGGATTTGAAGGCGTGACATTGCCAAACTGCTTAAAGGTGAGCTTTGCCCTTCATTTCTTTTACAGTTCCAATAAGGATGTTAGTCAGAATTATTACACGTCCACACATTTTTCTCTGACAACAGCAAAGACTGTATTGAGTTAACAAACCCTTTGATCTTGTGCATTGATCTTGTGTATTGAACTTGTGGTTGATGAGCTGACATCGGTCAGTGTCCACTCATTAGTACCTTCTGTAATGCAAATAAGCAGAAATATGCACCCCAGGTTTTACCTGAGGAGAAAGGTATGCATAAATGGCTGATAATTACTAAAGGACACAAGTCATTCTACCCAATGACATGACTATTCGCTTTCGTACTTCACAAGGTATGTAGTGACGCAAGTCTCTCTCTCCACGCTGTTCTCTGAAACCACAATGTTCCATATTTAACTGCATGTCCTGGCGTCCTTTACAAATATTTGAAAGTTATTTCTGCCTTTGCTTTTTTCCGACGATCTGTCCCACCAGCTGATGAGAGAATATGGCTTTTTATGATGAGAGTAAACTTAAACTCCCTTGGTATTTAAGCCTTGTGGGAGCTGTTCCTAAAGAGTGTTGCTGACCCACTATTGATCATGTGCCTCATCACATGAGCCACATACCTGGGACCCAAACTGAAGAAGCTTCTCAGATAAGAGGTGAAACATCTTCAAGTAACTTAAAGAAGTCTAGTTGTTTTTCTTTCCAAGCTCCTTACATTACTGTGACCAGGATGGCTGAGAACATGGACAGACACTCTATCTTCTTGTAACAGCAGCCCGTGGTTTGAATTGAGTGCCACTAACAAGCCATATGTCCATTCTTGTCTTTTGTCCAGAGGTTACAGTGTCCATGTTTTTCAAAAAATAATTTCAAATTTCAATTTACCTGACCACAGAACAGTTTTTCACGTTGCCTCAGTCCATTTACACGAGCTTTGGCTCAGAGAAGATGGTGTTTCTGGATCATGCTCACATATGGCTTCTTCTTTGTGTGACAGAGCTCTAACCTGCATTTGTGGATGACACGTTGAATTGTGTTCAAAGACAGTGATTTCTCAAAGTGTTTTGAATTGGGTAAACTGCTGAACCTCAGCCCATCTTTACTTCCGTGAAACTGTTGCCAGTTAACCTAATTACTTAAAGCTAATATCATTGATAAAACAGTAATATGTCTCAGTTAAAACATTTTATATGAGTTCTGTTTTCTGTTGTAAATTATGGGTTTTTCTGATTTAGAAATCATCACATTCTGTTTTATTAACATTTCATGCTGTACTACTCTTCCTGTATGAAGTGAGTTTTTTAAGCAACTGCCAGGTGGATATAAAGGAGAAAAAAATCATATTTTCTTTAATAGTGGAGGTGATTTCCTTTTTTCTATCCATTTTCTGAACCTCTTATCCCACTTAGGATCGCAGCTCATACTGGGCAAGACTAAAGGGTCACATTGGACAGATTGCCAGCACAAGGCCAACGCAGAGAGACAGATAATAACACTCTCACATCCACACCTGCGGTGCGTTTAGAATCACCAGTTAACCTATCTTTGATCCTTGTCTAATGGAACATCAGAAAATGATTTTTTATCCAATATTGTCTGGGCTGCACTCCACCCCATTCTTTAGGTATTCTCGGTTGTTCTCATTTCTGTCGTTTGACGTTAATTAAAATCATCTGGCTTTTTGCTCTCATTCTCAAACGTTCAATTTAAACTTTATAGTGTTAGCCGACTGGAGTAGGGTGGCTGTGAAGCTACTGGATGCAAGATGACCATTTAGCCATGTCACCTGTCCCCAAAATATGTAACTTTGCCCAGTTTGAGATCAATTTAGCTGTTCACTACATATAAGGGCAAGTATAATGGCAAATGTTTACGCAGTTCTGCTTGATTGAACTAGTGCATAAAAATTTCTGCATACTGCAGAGAAATGTTGTGAAAAGAAAACAGTTGGGGGAGCTGACAGTGTTCATGAAATGAGCATCTCCTCAGGTTTTTAACTGATCTGGCAGAAGAGGCTTGAGCGAAGTGTAGGTAGTGGAAATGCACTATGTGTACTGTATCTATGAGTGAAATAAGATAAACTAGAAGACTTCTGGTTTAACAATAACTCTCCCCCACATTAAAACAGTTTGAAAGCTGTAACTTCTCATTTTTCTCTTTATCACACACCATAACTTGGCCCCCGCCAGTCAACCAGACAAGTTAGCTGTGCTGCCAATGCGGTCTTATGAACTCCAACAAACACAGTCAGAAATAGGACAAATTTTGTTTAAGTCAGTCCCATGAGGAGACGTTTCACTGAAATGTAAAACTGTGCCAGATTTGCAGATCTATCTCTTTCCTGCTCTCTGTCCCCATCTGCATGAGCGCCTCGCTTTCTGTCTCTGTCTCACTCTCTTTGGCTTGAATGTGTGTGAGCAGAAGATTTGTCTGTGATCTCCTTAGAGTGAAGAGCTCAGTCAAGTCGGAAGAATTACATATTTATATATAATATATCCATGGTGGAAAGATGTTTTCTGATTTCACCTTACCCCTAAACCTTTGAGCCTGATCCTTCTGTTCTTTGGTTAAGATCAGTGTTTTCTGGCCTGAAATAAAGGGATTACCTGTCCAACCATCCCTAAGATTTTCAGCATGCTTGCACTGGATCAGGTTCTTCTTCAAATTCTTCCCAGTATCTCATGCTGTTTTGCATCCCAATTATGGTTTCTTTTAAGATTCAGGTCATTTGTACACTGTGGGATTAGGTGTCACTTAAAAATGACTTTGCATTCCAGATCATACAAAATGCTCTACTTAAGACTGTCTGTGCAAAATTAATTTCTACAGGTTTTAAAATGGTTTAGATTTCCTTTATAATGAGTTCGTTGCCAATTCTCTTTATGTCAGAATCATAAATCCTGTAATTATTTTCATTAGTGTTCCACCATTTCATTATGATTTATGAGGAAAAGGTCATTACAAAATAGAATGTTTTATTCTAAAGAGTTAGCATTAACATGGCTATTCTGCTTTTTTCTCTCTTTTAATGATGTACACAGAGATGTTCACACTGGAAATTGGACAGATTACATTTTTAGACCTTGAAGACTGAATGCTTTAGTGTGCACACTATAGGTCACACTCCAGCACAGCAATATCCATTCACCTTTTCTAAAGAGACAGCTTTGCAAAAATGTCCTAGAAAATTTCTCACTATAATATATGCCTACGGTACCATGAGCTGTAACACGAATCATGTATTCAGAAATTATATAAATGCAATCACACCTTGTAACATGAACAAAAAAAGTGACAATCCATTCTGACGGATTTCACACATCATCATACTTTTTTCTCCTGCCGCACATTATCATTTACTCTTTTGTATCTTTGTAAGTGACTGATTTCCTGTTTTCTTCCCAGTACATCAAGAAACACCCCAAAATTTGAGGTAGTTTTGAAAAGTAAAGGTTTTGTGCTATAAGTAAAATCTATTGCATTGTGAAACCCTTAGTGGATATGGATACTCTCCATTCTCTTTTAAACTAACCAAAATGAGTTATTATTTTCTTTCATTTACAGCTATTAATATATAGTGATTCATATGCTTGTTAATAATACATGCATTGGATGCCCATACAAACCTGACAGCATCTAACAGATGGTGAAGATTTTTAAGCTGTACATCAATTATATGAATCTCCTACTCTAACCTATCCCAAATTTGCTGTATTGGATTGAGATCTGGTGACTATGGAGGTCATTTGAGTGCAGTGTAGCGTTCAAGAAACCAGTTTGAGATGAGCTTTCTGATATGGTGTGTTATCCTGCTGGAAGCAGCCAAATAAAGAGATGGGTGTGGTCAGCAGCAATACTCAGGTAGGCTGTGCCCTTAAACAATGATCAATTGGTAAAAAATGGACCAAAATATGCCAAGTAAGTACTCCTCATGCCATGGGGCGATCATGGCTCAAGAGTTGGGAGTTTGCCTTGTAATCGGAAGGTTGCCGGTTCGAGCCCCGACTTGGACCGTCTTGGTCGTTGTGTCCTTGGGCAAGACGCTTCACCCGTTGCCTACTGGTGGTGGTCAGAGGGCCCGGTGGCGCCAGTATCCGGCAGCCTCGCCTCTCTCAGTGCGCCCCAGGGTGGCTGTGGCTAAAATGTAGCTGCCATCACCAGCGTGTGGATGACTGGATGTGTAAAGCGCTTTGGGGTCCTTAGGGACTAGTAAAGCGCTATATAAATACAGACCATTTTGCACCCGCCTAAGACAAAGGCAGGAGGCAGGATAGATCCATATTTATTGTTGTTTACACCAAATCCCGACCCTACCATTGGAACCTTCTATTTTAAATTTTGATGAGGTAGATCAGCAGTTTTTGAAATACTCAACCCACCTGACACCAACAAACATGTCACCTCTCTTCCTCATTCTGAGCGTTTCTTTGAACTTTAATCATGATCATGTCTACATGCCTAAATACACTGAGTTGCTGCCAT